GGGAGGAAGGGAGGGAGGGAGGGAGGGAGGGAGGGAGGGAGGAAGGATAAGCTCAGGGTTGTAAAATGGTTTGCAGAGCATGAACTGGAAAGGACCTGAATCTACAAAGCATGGCAATAAGGAGGCACACACCCAAATACAAAACCAGCAAACGAACAGAAAGCTAATCCTGTGAAAATTTACTCAGCAGTTTTTCTCTTTCCCAAAAATTAACTCAGAAATAGGGGGGAAGAGAAGTACATGACCTTTCCTATAAGTTCTACCTATGTTAATTAATCACTTCCTCCTCTACCTGTGCAGGTGGTCACCTCCATTGGGGAGCTGGTTGAGGTGTGCTCTGCACAGATCCAGTCAGGATGGAGACCCCTGTTCAGTGCTCTGGAAACAGTGCACAGTGGGAACAAGTCAGAGGTGAAGGAGTACCTGGTTGGGGACTACTCTATGGGTAAGAACAGATGGGTGACTCTTGCTATAGCACTGCCATTTCTTATGCCAAGTTTTGGGTTATCAAAAGAACAGAAAGAAAAACATTCTGTCAGCCATGTTTTGTCAACAGAAAATAACATATAACTAGGGTTTGGGGTTGGCTTGCTACCAGCTGTCCCAAAGCCCTGAACTCATTAGGCCCTGCTCTTGCTGAGATAGTATTGATCACTCTGTATTGTTCTGTAGAGTTTCTTTCTCAAACCACAAAGGAAAAAATGTTATGAGTTGATCATCCAAAAATACAAAATGCTCCAAAATTTTTTTAAATGTTATTCCAAAGTACCCAGATTTGAGATGCTCCATAAAGTCTAAGCAATTATTTCATACTCTGAAAAACTTCAAATTTGGAAATTCAACTGGTCCCTGGTATTTAGAAGATACACTAAACCTGAATCTGTATTTAAGTAAGAAAACTGGAAAGTATAATACAGGGAATCACAATTACGGATATTGGAATACCTAAAAATAAATTGGCATGCCCAGTGTCCAAGGGTATTGTTTCCGTGATCTCTAAGGCCATCCTGACATTCAGAAACCCAGCAGAAGGATTTGTGGACAGAGAGTACTGCTCTGATAGGAAATATTCCATGGCTTATGTTTATTCCATGGCTGATGACTAAGATTCACTATGGTAGTATAATATGGGCACAGCCTTGTTTTAAGGTAAGAAGACAAAATCTGGAAGAATGCTACAGGTTTCCTTACATTCTTACCTTCCCACAGACCATCACACAGAGCACTCTTCCCTCAGTAATGGAAGTGTCAGATCATGAAGCCACTTAAAGACCCAATTGAAAACTGGTCACATAGATACATTGTACCTGGCATTTTCCACATCCTGAATGTTCAGTATAATCTAAATTGCTTGCACAGTCTAGAACAAGTGAACCACCTTATGAGATAACTATCCCAGGAATATTCTGAGAATCAAGTTCCTAGATGTCAGTCTAGAGCCACTTGATTGACAGCCTTGCAAGCAGGATTTCCTAAGGCAAGCAGACTCATTCCTATGACTTCTGCACAGGAATGAATAAATAAGTGTATTTCATCAGAGACTTGTCTAAATGGTTCTTCCCTTGTCTATAGGTATTCTACTTTTCTTTGTAATCCCATGTTTACTGTACTGTCGACCCACACATTACTCTAGGCTTATGTTCCTATAGATCTACCCCCGTTATCCACCCAACTTTCTTAATCTTCCTACGGCTCCCATGTAGGTGAAGCAACAAGATGTACTATCTATTCAGTCTAAAGATCCAAAAATGTTTCTTTTTTAAAAAGATTTTTTTATGTATATGAGTGCTCTATCTATATGAGTACACCTGCATGCCAGAAGAAGACAGCAGATCTCATTACAGATGGTTGCGAGCCACCATGTAGTTGCTAGGAATTGATCTCGGGACACAGCCAGTGCTCTTAACCACTGAGCCATCTCTCCAGCCCCCAGAAATGTTTTCTTTTTTTTTTTTAAATTTAACTCTATTTTTAATTGTGAGAGAAATAACCTTCAACTTTGTATGGTTACAAGTTTAGGTTAACTTGTTATTTCTTTTTTTTATTGGATGTTTTATTTATATTTCATATGTTTTCCCTTTACCCCATCCCCCACCCACCCAGGAACCCCCTATCCCCTCACCCCTCCTCCTGCTTCTCTGCAGATGTACCCCTACATATCCCACCCCACTCCCACCTCCCCACCCTCAAATTCCCACCCCCTGGGGTGTCCAGCCTTCATGAGACCAAGGATCTCTTCTCCCACCTATACCCAGCAGGGTCCTCCACCCTTACATATACAGCTGAAGCCATGGATCCCTCCCTAAGTGCTCCCAGGCTGGTGGTTTAGACCCTGGGAACTCTGGTTGGTTGGTATTGTTGCAAATTGTTGGTTGGTATTGTTTGCAGCCCTCATAGCCTGCAAACCCTTTCAGCTCCAACACTCTTCACTCTAATTCCTCCATTGGGAACCGCATGATCAGTTCAATGGCTAGCTGTGAGCATCTGTCTCTGAATATGTCAGGCTCTTGCAGACCTCTGAGGAGACATCTATATCAGGCTCTTATCAGCATGCACTTCCTGACTTCCACATCAGCATCAAACTTTGGTGACTGCACATGGGATGGATACTCAGATGAAATGGTCTTCAGACGGCTCCTCCTTCAGTTTCTGTCCCTCACTTTGTCTCCATATTTGCTCCCTTGAGTATTTTGTTGCTCCTTCTAAGAAGGCCCGAAGCACCCCCACGTGGTCTTCCTTCTTCATGAGCTTGATGTGACCTGTGAGTTGCATCTTGAGCATTTCAAGGTTCTGGGCTAATATCCAATAATCAGTGAATGAATACCATGTGTGTTCTTTTGTGATTGGCTTATCTCACTCAGGATGATATTTTCTAGTTCCATCCATTTACCTAGGAATTTCTCAAATTGATTATTTTTAATAGCTGAGTAATACTCCACTGTGTAAATGTACCACATTGTATCCATTCCTCAGTTGAAGGACATCTAGGTTCTTTCCAGCTTCTAGCTATTATAAATAAGGCTGCTATGAACATAGTGGAGCATATGTCCTTGTTATATGTTAGAGCATCTTCTGTGGATATGCCTAGGAGTGGTATAGCTGGATCCTCAGGTAATGCTATATCCAATTTTCTGAGGAGCCGCCAGACTGATTTCCAAAGTGGTTACACCATCTTGCAGTCCCACCAACAATGGAGGAGTGTTCCTCTTTCTCCACATCCTTGCCAGCATCTACTATCACCTGAGTTTTTAATCTTAGCCATTCTGACTGGTATGAGATGGAATCTCAGGGTTGTTTTGATTTGCATTTCCCTGATGACTAAGGATACTGAACATTTCTTTAGGTGCTTCTCGGCCATTCGAGTTTCCTCAGTTGAAAATTCTTTGTTAAGATCTATACCCCATTTTTTAAATAGGGTTATTTGGTTGTCTGGAGTCTAATTTCTTGAGCTTTTTGTATATATTGGATATTAGCCCTCTATCAGATGTAGGATTGGTAAAGATCTTTTCCCAATTTGCTGGTTGTCGTTTTGTCCTATTGACAGTGTCCTTTGCCTTACAGAAACTTTGCAATTTTATGAAGTCCCATTTGTCAATTCTTGATCTTTTTTTTTTTTTTTTTTTTGGTTTTTCGAGACAGGGTTTCTCTGTGTAGCCCTGGCTGTCCTGGAACTCACTCTGTAGACCAGGCTAGCCTCGAACTCTCGAACTCAGAAATCCACCTGTCTCTGCCTCCCAAGTGCTGGGATTAAAGGCGTACACCACCACCGCCCAGCGTCTATTCTTGACTTAAAGCATATGCCATTGGTGTTCTGTTCAGGAACTTTTCCCCTGTGCCCAAGTATTCCAGGTTCTTTACCACCTTCTCTTCTATTAGTTTCAGTGTATCTGGTTTTATGTGGAGGTTCTTTATCCATTTAGACTTGAGCTTTGTACAAGGAGATAAGAATGGATCAATTTTCATTCTTCTACATGTTGTCCTCCAGTTGAACCAGCACCATTTGTTGAAAATGCTGTCCTTTTTCCACTGGATGGTTTTAGCTCTTTTGTCAAAGATGAAGTTACCATAGGTGTGTGGGTTCATTTCTGGGTCTTCAATTCTATTCCATTGATCTTCCTGCCTGTCTCTGTACCAATACCAAGTAGTTTTTAATCACTATTGCTCTGTAGTACAGCTTGAGGTCAGGGATGGTGATTCCTCCCGAAGTTCTTTTATTGTTGAGAATAGTTTTCGCTATCCTGGGTTTTTGTTATTCCAAATGAATTTGAGAATTTCCTTTTCTAACTCTGTGAAGAATTGAGTTGGGATTTTAATGGGAATTGCATTGAATCTGTAGATTGCTTTTGGCAAGATGACCATTTTTGTTATATTAATCCTGCCAATCCATGAGCATGGGAGATCTTTCTATCTTCTGAGATCTTCTTCAATTTCTTTCTTCAGGGTCTTGAAGTTCTTGTCATACAGGTCTTTCACTTGCTTGGTTAGATTTACACCAAGGTATTTTATATTATTTGCGACTATTGTGAAGGGTTTCATTTCCCTAATTTCTTTTTCAGTCTGTTTATCTTTCACGTAGAGGAAGGCTACTGATTTGTTTGACTTAATTTTATATCCAGCCACTTTGCTGAAGTTGTTTATCAGGTTTAGGAGTTCTCTGGTGGAAGATTTGGGGTCACTTAAGTATACTATCATATCATCTGCAAATAGTGATATTTTGACTTCTTCCTTTCCTATTTGTATCCCTTTGACTTCTTTTTGTTGTCTAATTGCTCTGTCTAGGACTTTCAGTACTATATTGAGTAGGTAGGGGGAGAGTGGGCAGCCTTACCTAGTCCCAGATCTTAGTGGGATTGCTTCAAGTTTCTCTCCATTTAGTTTGATGTTGGCTGCTGGTTTGCTGTAAATTGCTTTTACTATGTTTAGGTATGGGTCTTGAATTCCTGATCTTTCCAAGACTTTTATCATGAAGGCATGTTGAATTTTGTCAAATGCTTTCTCAGCATCTAGTGAGATGATCATGTGGTTTTTTTTCTTTGAGTTTGTTTATATAGTGGATTACATTGATGGATTTCTGAATATTGAACCAACCCTGCATTCCTGTGATAAAACCTACTTGATCATGATGGGTGATTGTTTTGATGTGTTCTTGGATTCGGTTTGCTAGAATGTTATTGAGTATTTTTGCATCCATATTCATAAGGGAGATTGGTCTGAAGTTCTCTTTCTTTGTTGGGTCTTTGTGAGGTTTGGGTATGAGTGTAATTGTAGCTTCATAGAACGAATTGGGTAGTGTTCCTTCTGTTTCTATTTTGTGGAAGAGTTTGAAGAGAATTGGTATTAGGTCTTCCTTGAAGGTCTGATAGAGTTCTGCACTAAAACCGTCTGGCCTCGGACTTTTTTTTGTGGGGAGACTTTTAATGACTGCTTCTATTTCTTTTGGGGTTATGGGACTGTTTAGATGGTTTATCTGCTCCTGATTTAACTTTGGTACCTGGTATCTATCTAGCAAGTTGTCCATTTCATCCAGGTTTTCCAGTTTTGTTGAGTATAGGCCTTTGTAGTAGGATCTGATGATTTTTTGAATTTCTTCAGTTTCTGTTGTTATATCTCCCTTTTCAGTTCTGATTTTATTAATTTGGATACTGTCTCTGTGCACTCTGGTTAATCTGGCAAGGGTTTATCTATCTTGTTGATTTTCTCAAAGAACCAGCTCCTGGTTTTACTGATATTTTGTATTGTTCTTTCTGTTTCTATTGGGTTGATTTCAGCCCTAAGTTTGATTATTTCCTCCCTTTTACTGCTCTTGGGTGTATTTGCTTCTTTTTGTTCTAGAGCTTTTAGTTGTGCTGTCAAGTTGTTAGTGTGTGATCTTTCCAGTTTCTTTTTGTAGGCACTTAGAGCTATGAGTTTTCCTCTTACCACTGCCTTCATGGAGTCCCACAAGTTTTGGTATGATGTGTCCTCATTTTCATTAAATTCTAAAAAGTCTTTAATTTCTTTCTTTATTTCTTCCTTGACTAAGTCATCGTTGTGTAGAGAGTTGTTCAGTTTCCACATGAGTGTGGGTTTTCCATTGCTTTTGTCATTATTAAAGACGAGTCTTAGTCCGTGGTGATCTGATAGGATGCAAGGAATTATTTCAATCTTTTTGTGTATGTTGAGGCCTGTTTTGTGACCAATTATATGTTCTATTTTGGAGAAGCTACCATGAGGTGCTGAGAAAAAGGTATATTCTTTTGTTATAGGATGAAATGTTCTATAGATATCTGTTAAATCCATTTGGTTCATAACTTCTGTTAATTTCAAAGTGTCTTGGTTTAGTTTCTATTTCCATGATCTGTCCATTGCTGAGAGTGGGGTGTTGAAATCCCCCACTATTATTGTGTGAGGTGCAATGTGTGCTTTGAGCTTTAGTAAAGTTACTTTTATGTATGTAGGTGCCCTTGCATTTGGAGCATAGATACTCAGAATTGAGAGTTCACCTTGGTAGATTTTTCCTTTGATGAGTATGAAGTATCCTTCCCTATCTTTTTTGATTACTTTTGGATGATAGTCGATTTTATTTGATATTAGAATGGCTACTTCAGCTTGTTTCTTGGGTACATTTGCTTGGAAAATTGTTTTTCATCCTTTTATTCTGAGGTAGTGTCTATCTTTGTCACTGAGATGCGTTTCTTGTATGCAGCAAAATTCTGGGTCCTGTTTGTGTATCCAGTTTGATAGTCTGTGTCTTTTTATTAGGGAATTGAGTCCTTTGACATTAAAAGATATTAAGGAAAAATGATTGTTGCTTTCTGTTATTTTTGTTATTAGAGATGGAATTATGTTTGTGTAGCTATCTTCTTTTGGGGTTGTTGGAAGATTACTTCCTTGCTTTTTCTAGGTTGTAGTTTCCCTCCTTGTGTTGGAGTTTTCCATCAATTATCCTTTGAAGTGCTGCATTTCAGGGAAGATATGGTGCAAATTTGGTTTTGTCATGGAATATCTTGGTTTTACCATCTATAGTGATTGAGAGTTTTGCTGGGTATAGTAGTCTGGGCTGGCATTTGTGTACTCTTAGGGTCTGTATGATATTAGTCCAGGATCTTCTGGCTTTTATAGTCTCTGGTGAGAAGTCTGGTGTAATTCTTATAGGTCTGCCTTTATATGTTACTTGACCTTTTTCCCTTACTGCTTTTAGTACTTTTTGTTTGTTTTGTGCATTTGATGTTTTGATCATTATGTGACAGGAGGTATTTCTTTTCTGGTCTAGTCTATTTGGTGTTCTGTAGGCTTCTTATATGTTTATGGACATCTTGTTCTTTAGGTTAGGGAAATTTTCCTCACTAATTTTGTTGAAGATATTTATTGGCCCTTTAAGTTGGGAATCTTCACTCTCATCTATACCTATTATCCTTAGATTTGGTCTTCTCATTGTGTTCTGGATTTCCTGGATGTTTTGGGTCAGAAGTTTTTTGCATTTTGCATTTTCTTTGACAGCTGTGTCAATGTTTTCCATGGTATCTTCTGCACATGAGATTCTCTCTTCTATCTCTCGTATTCCCTTGGTGATGCTTACATCTACGACTCCTGATCTCTTTCCTACATTTTCTATCTCCAGGGTAGTCTCCCTTTGAGATTTCTTTATTGTTTCTACTTCCATTTTTAGATCCTACATGATTTCGTTCAATTCCTTCACCTGTTTGATTGTGTTTTCTTGCAGTTCTTTAAGGGATTTCTGTGTTTCCTCTTTAAGGGCTTCTACCTGTTTACCTGTGTTCTCTGGTATTTCTTTAAGGGAGTTACCTATATCCTTCTTAAAATCCTCTATCATCATCATGAGAAGTGATTTTAATCCTGAATCCTACTTTTCCGGTGTGATGGGGTGTCCAGGGCTTGCTATATTGGGAGAATTGGGTACTGATGATGCCAAGTAACTTTGGTTTCTGTTGCTTACGTTATTGTGCTTGCCTTTTACCATCTGGTTAACTCTAGTGTTACCTGCCCTCACTGTGTAAGACTGAATGAAGTCTGTATTTCCAGTTTTCTTACTTGTATCAGAGCTCCTCAGAGTCCAGATGTCTTGTGGTCTTATGATCCTAATCTCCTCGGTGGAAGAACTCCTGGGACTCAGGCCACCTCTGGGATCTGGAAATCCTTCTGCTCTGGGTGCAGTAGTTCCTCTAGGATGGCTCAGGATACAGTGTCTCCACAAGTGCAAATCAGCTAGGTGTCTGCTGCTCTGAGTACAGTGGCTCCTCTAGGATGGCTCAGGATTCAATATCTCCACAGGAGCAGACCAGCTATATGTCTGCCCCAGCCAAAAGCCAGAAATGTTTTCTAATGAATCTTTTCTAAGACTTTTCAGGAGGTACTGAGAAGCATTAGCACCCTGAAAGGTTAAAAACCTCCCTTTGTTAAGATTTTATCATCTCCCTCCCTCAGGAAAAGGTCAGGCTCCTGTGTTCGACGTGTTTGAAGCTTTTCTCAATACGGACAATATCCAGGTCTTTGCTAATGCAGCTACTAGTTACATCATGTGCCTTATGAAGTTTGTCAAGGGGCTGGGTAAGTGGAACTCTCCTTTAATAATTCACGGTCATTGTAGACCCTTCTCACAATGGTTTTGTAGGGATGTCCCTGGAGACAGGACCCTAAAAACAAGCAAACATCCTAGGATATGAACACATGGGGTCAGAGACTTACTTGGGTTTGTTGGTGTTTTTCACTGTATCTATAAAATATATTATGATATAATGCATTCTCAACCTACATCGTAGTTTATGCTAACTTCCTTATCAATCTTAGAATATTTCAGTATTTTTGACCTTGTGTAGGATACCATTCCCTTCAATGTCACGTTTAGCAGTTGGAAAGTAAAATTAAGAATGCCTTCTCTAGCCTTCTTAATTGTAAGGTGACTTTTGGATTAGTCAGCATCCTCCTTCTTGAAGTCCTGGTGTATTTTAGGAAGTATATAGGTGATTATATGCTTAAGTTAGGAACACTTAATAGTCTGAAGTCTTGTATGCAGCATGACCTACTCAAGCTTGGTTTTACAGTGCACAGATCATCTGGGTGAGATTGAGAGAAGCAGGGGGGTTAACCACAAGTTTTGAAGACATTTACACATCTGAGAGGTTTACACAGAGTGCTCCTGGATGTAGAATCAGAGAACCTTGGAAATAAGAAAATAGAAGGCTGATGTTGTTCTTTTACCTTCTCAATAGATGATTGATACATTGATCATTCTTTTATGAAAGAAAATTGGGCACAAAGAAGTTATTAGACTTGCATCACTCTTATTATTGGTGTAAGAGTAAGAGCAGAATGAAAGTGTCAGGATTTACTTGCTGTTAGTCTGAGAAGTACACAAGCCTTAGCCTGTTCTGCTATAACATACATTTGCCGTCTTTACCTACAAAGATACTTTCTCAGATCACCAGTAGATTCTTGATACTACTAATAGTACCACACGTGATTTTTCTACTTTTTCCTATACATACATATGTACATACATATAAACATACCAACAATTAATTTATAAAGTAGATATTATATTAGACTGACAAAAACTAATGATAAAGCCTGGAGACAGGGCTCAGCAGTTAAACATACTGGTTGCTCTTCTCACCAGGGTTTAATTCCCAACACCAAAATGTCAGGTCACAGTCATCTGAAGCTCCAGTCCCAGAGGATATAATTCCCTCTTCTGGCTTTCTCAAGCATCAGACATGTAAGAGGTGCACAGACATGCATGCAGGCAAATACTCAGGCACATAAAAATAAAAGTAAGTAAATAAATAAACAAATAGTAAAAATTTAAAAAGAAACCAGTGATACGGGCTGGAGAGATGGCTCAGCGGTTAAGAGAACTGACTGCTCTTCCAGAGGTCCTGAGTTCAAATCCCAGCAAGCACATGGTGGCTCACAACCATCCATAATGAGATTGGATGCCCTCTTCTGGTGTGTCTGAAGACAGCTACAGTGTACTTATCAATAAAATAAATAAATAAATATTAAAAAAAAGAAGAAGAAATCAGTGATAGCAGTACACTGATATCACATCAGGCAGTGTGGTAACCCTATGATGTGACAACAGGTAGATATCATATCCAGCCTGGATGCAGAACACAAAGGGATTTGGCACATCCCAATGGTATGGAGCAAGAGTGACATTCTATCACAAGGCTGGCAATAACATATAACTTAAAATTTAGGAATTTTTTTAAATATTTATTTATTTTATTTATGAGTACACTGTAGCTATCTTCAGACACACCAGAAGAGGGCATCGAATCTCATTATGGATGGCTGTGACCCACCATGTGGTTGCTGGGATTTGAACTCAGGACCTCTGGAAGAGCAGTCAGTGCTCTTAACCACTGAGCCATCTCTCCAGCCCCAATTTAGGAATTTCTTATTTCTGAAATTTTCCACTCATGTTTTCCTGTCATATAGGTACAAGAACTTAAACCAAAGCAAAGAAGAAAAGCTAATAGATTTTTTTTGACAGTTATAGATACAAGTAAAATATGCAGGTAGAGGTACCTTACAACATGTTGGAAATTTGAGACTTTATCTTAGAGAAAAGTTAGGAACTAATGTAGGGATGCCAAATTATTAATGTGCATATGGGAGATGTTTTGAAAAGAGAGATTCTATTTTAATCTACAAAATAGAGAGTCAAGATGTAAGTCTTGGGGTGCAGTGGGAAAGACAGAATGCTCCATCCAGCCATGCCTCCTGAGTACTACTTGGTCCTAGAGGCCTATTTATATACACTTTATATGTATAGCATAAAAAGGAAACACGTGACACGTGCTATAATCAAGAAGATAGGAAATGAGACTGTTGTTAATTTCTTCCTGTCTTTCTCAGCATGAATTCACCCTGGCCTCTGTTTTTAGCCGTAAGATATAAGAATATAAACCCGAAACTAGCAGACCTACAATTCAAATCTTACTCACCAATAGATTTTCTGTAAGACAATTTTATTTGAGTTTGTGCTACAGCAATAGTAGTGAAGTTTCAACCCAGACGAGATGACCTACCAAGCCGGAAGTGCTTGCTCTCTGACCCTTTACAAAAAGTCTGCCATCCCTAATCTAAACTGTGAATTTGTCTACTTCTTTTGTGTAGAAGCATACCTCAGTGCTTTTGAATTCTAACTAATGCCTAGTAATTATGTCTGTTTACTCATATGGAAGGGTGTTTGCTGCTACAATTGCAGACAATTGGCTATAATTACAGTGCTATGAAATTATTTTATTAGAAGCATAGAAATAGAATCATGATATTGAGAATAAAATACAATTCTCATTTACTTACCTATAGAAAAATCTATAGTAAATCTCTACAACTATATGAAAATAAACTAATTTAAGTCTAATGAAATAGCCCCACGTCTACAACTCCCATGTTTATTCTTCCTGAGATCTTCATTTACTATCATCATTTAGTGCCTAGTGCTGGCAGAAGAAGAAGTCCAAAGAGGAAAGCAAGTACCTCATTTCAGCCTTACAAGGCCTGCCTCTGGGACTGTTCTCTGTCACCAGGGCTCAGAAGTCACATCATCCAGAAGAGAAGGGAATGAATTTGTGTGCTGGTTTCAGAAATACCATCTCAACCACCAGAAGTATGGGACCAGAACAGACCAAATATTCCTCGTAGGGAGAAAAGTCACAGATTTATTAGGATTATACGGGTTGCTGCAACTTTCCCCTTTCTTCCTTGTGTGTATATTTGGGTAAGATGTTAGTAAATGGGTCTTCTGTTATAATCAGAAGCAGGGCTAATTTTGTCCCTGTCCCCACACTGCCCTAGGTGAGGTAGACTGTAAAGAGATTGGAGACTGTGTCCCTGGAGCTGGAGCCACATCTACAGACCTGTGCCTGCCTGCCTTGGATTACCTCAGACGTTGTTCTCAGGTATTGGGGAGGCCCACACACAGCTCCAAGCCTCAAACATGGCACAGAGGGTATTCATAAAACACCAACAAATGTCTTTAGCTGAGCCCTAGGAGAGATGGCTTTATTTCCTTTACCTTGACCTCAAGTCTTCCCATCCCCCAGGTTGCTTTTGCCCTTCTGTTTCCTTGGAGGTAGATAATGAGAAAGGGGAAGCCAGAATCTGGTGCCCATTTTCCTATGGGCCCCATTCTTATCTGGGATCCCCTACAGACAGAATATTTGACATATTAGTCAATTTATAAAAGTGTGTAAAACTCAGATGATGAAAAATAGCCAGCCAGAGCTTTGTTGCTGGTGAGCATTATTACTTCTGCTTCCTAATATGAATGCTCTTGTCAACTACTTGTTAAATACAAAACACAATGACTTTTACTTTTTGTTTTGAGTTCTCTTTAATAATGATTTATAATCTTTCTATTTCCTGACACTGAGAATTTCCCAATATATAAGTGTACTGTTTGGTGTGGTTTTCTTACTTAGCTATTGGCCAAGATCTACAAAATGCCTTTAAAGCCAATCTTCCTTAGTGGGCGACTTGCCAGTTTGCCACGAAGACTTCAGGAGCAGTCAGCAAGCAGTGAGGATGGAATTGAATCAGTCCTGTCAGATTTTGATGATGACACCGGTAAGTTAATTGACTTGATTAGGATTATTTTTATGTTCTTAAGCCCAGACTCTAAGGACATAAATTTAGTAAAACTAGTCATCCACTTCTATTGTTTGTTTGTTTTTTAATAATTTTTTACCAAGAGAACTTTAACCAGAGTTTCCAAGGTCTCCCTAAAATCGACACTCTTTCTTTTTACATGGATGCTTCTGTATAAAGCCATCATAGCTATACAAATTCCACTAAATCATTTTTTATTTCTTTTGGATTTAGCAAAGTCAGACAAAATTGCACTGGTGCTTAAATGGGCTAGCTACAGCCATCACTAGTTCCAAGGAAACACAATTACTTCCCCTAGGACTATTCGACTGGAAACCACTGCTGAAGAGAGACTGTATTTGTAGTAAGTGAGGCTACTAGGCTTAGGACAAGAATACTTTTAAAGAATTTGTTTCAAAGTAGGTTCCATGTAATCTCCTGTGAAGCAGACTACAGTCATGTAAGTCTAAGTGATGTTCTGGTGAATTGACTCCTGTTCACACCTGTTGTTTATCGTCTCAGAAGACTTGTCCAGTTCACATCTAGAAATATAAAGCACACGCAGAAATGTGCCTACCTTCCAAGCACAGGCTGTTTCAAACACTCTTGGGGGATGTTTTTGGTTTTATCTTTCAGTTATGGGGTGGTTAGACTTTTACAGTGTTTGAGAGATCATCTTAAATGGTAAAACCTCCTTAAATCAATCAGAGAAAACATTATAGGGAGGAACAGATATCTAATATCACAAATAAATTATGAAAAAGAATAATTTTGATTTAACATTTGAAGCCTTTAGCCAATATAATTATCACCAGAAGCTAATATTCTTGTTTATAATAATGTTTGGGATTTTGACTTGTACTAAAGGGAGAGAGAGAGAAAGAAAAATATGCGTGCCTAGTAGTATAGTAGATGGAGGTGTGGGCCACGGTCGTGAGTTCTAGGGCTGTTTCAGAGTTATGTAGTAGAATATAGCAGAACTTGAGGACTCCTCAGCATAGGTATCTCTCATGCTCACTGCAGCCCTCAGTACCAGACTCTAGTGATCAAGGCTGTTCCCCATTCTTATACAATATCCCTTATCAAATAATCTTATGGCTTATTGCACATAGAAAGAAGAAAGGCCACATAGCTTTTTCTAAAGTCATACTTCCTCCAGTGATTTGACCATAAGTGGCAAATGTACCAATTTGGCAAATATAGAGTTAGATCACCTAATCCCACCATAGTAAACAAAGCAGCTTGGCAGAGATTAGGAGATAAGTTGGAGCTGGAGCTAGGGACAGTGGAAAGCTGGTTACAGAGTGTCTGTGTGAGACGACAACAATTTTGAAGATGGTACTAATGGCTACTCTGCGTGATGCACATAATGCCACTAATGTTACAAAGAAAAGAGTGGAAGTAGATAATTTTGTTAATTTTAAAATACTAGGCAGGAAGAACTAGGAATGTATATGTTTGGAAGAGTGCTTACCTCACATGCATGATGCCCTGGGTTTGATCTCCAGCACTACATAAACAGTATGGGGTGGAACAAGTGCCTGACACCCCAAAACTTGGTTATAAATGGCATCTACCTTGTCAGCTATTATGTCTAGCTTTGTATAGTCTATACTTACTTATGATTTATATTTATATTTGCATTTTTCACTGGGCTGGAAATTATATTGAAAAACCATGATAATACATCAGTTCTTAAAGCTGCTTGTATATTTGTGTATTAGGCACATGTACATGAGGTGGAAACTTCCAGTCAGAAGTTTAAGATCACCAATGCCTAAAAAGCAAATTCAAGGCTAGCTTAGGCTACATGGGACCCTGCCTCAAAAGAGAAACAGGAGGATAGACAGAAATAAAGCTAAATGGACAATCTTATATTTGTATTACTATATGATTAGTTCCCAAGGAGTCTGACAGTCATTTCAGTCATTGCCATTTTTAAGAAGTAGAGTTGGGGAAGAATTAGAGTTTTGTGTTTTCCTTTGACTTTGTCAGACCATATTAATCAATCTTTGCCTGCTCATAGGCACCGAGAGCTAGTGCTCTGATTGACAATTAACATCCCAATGCCTTTTGACATTCATACATGGAGTTTGCTTGGATCTTGCAAGTATTATTTTTCCTGATGAAATCCTGAGAGCTGGATTTCTGAGAGGTCTGCTTTTTGTTTTTCAGGTCTGATAGACGTCTGGATCATCCTGTTGGAGCAGCTAACGGCAGCTGTGTCCAACTGTCCCAGACAACATCAACCACCCACCTTAGATTTACTCTTTGAACTGTTGAGAGATGTTACCAAGACACCTGGTAAATGTCTATATCTGTTTTTATTGGAGGAGGGGTTGTTAAACATATATGTTTAAGTAGGTATGTCTTTTGATATTTACCTGTTTTTCACTGCTTATTACATTCAAGGCCAGGTTTCACTTGCAGTAGATGCTCAGTAAGTATGTGTTGAATGGCTACAGTGATGTTATGAGTAAGGCATATCCCTGAAATGTTTTACCAAAGGTGTGTGCTTTGATGCTGTTGGAGTCCCACATCAATCCTTCTGTGCCATCAGTGTCTCCATAGGACAGCTGTCTTTGCCATTTGCCATGATTGTAATCTCCTTCCTCCACCAGATTTTACAGCGTTTGCAGCCCCAGTGCTGTTAGGAGACCCCAACAGATCCACCACTCATGAGCACATACCATACTAAGCAGCCTCTTGTCATGGTGATTGGAATTGGAAAAAGATACCTACTGCCTAGGATGGTTCCCTGTGTAGGAAAGAGACCTTAGAAATGCATCTCTTGTTCTGAGTTTTAAACACTTAGCATATATGTTATTCATTTCAAAGTTTCCTCAGTCAAAGAAACTTTTTATAGAAATGTAAGGTGTTTTTATTGTTTCTTTATGGGTGCTTTGCCTGCATAAATGTCTGTGTACCCCATGCATACAATACTTGGAGAGGCCAGAAGAGGGCATCAGATCCCCTGAAACTGGAGTCACAGACAATTGTGAGCTACCATGTGGGTAATTGAAAGCTGAATTGAACTCTGATCCTCTGGACTAGGGTTCAGTTAAGAGCAGTCTGTACTTTTAATGGCTGAGCCATCTCACCAACCCTGAAATTTTGTTTTTTACTAACAGAATTAGGATCTTAATGAAGTTACTAATTAATTCCACAGCGAAATGTCTAGTCATCATTTGGAAAACTTGATTATTAACACAGGCTTAAAATTCATTGCAAGGGTTGTAGCTATTCTCACATGTTTAAAAGTTAGAGGCATCCCACTAAAGAAAGTTATGCACCAGGACTTCTAAATATATATCATTAGGAAGTACCATTTTCAATTTTGATATTAATTACCATATGAATAGTGTTTAATGAAAAAAAAGTATATCTGTTTGTTAAAGTCGCTAAAATAAAATTTTTGAACACTAAATGAAAAGCAATTAATAAATGTGAATAACATGATGACATTTATAAGGCATTATTTTAAATGTGGAATCAAATATATGAAATTTTATGCATTTGTAAATACACATTCATACCTGTACATTCAGGAAGTATGTTAAGGAAATATGTGAAAATGGAATTATATCTGTATGTAAGTTTTGTTCCTCTATATTATGTAATTTTCATTTGATCTTTGATATCTTCTTTGTTTTCTTATTGGATCTTACTGTTTAGTCTACATTGGCCTGAAACTGGTAGTTTAACTGTCTTGACCCCCAAGTGCTAGGAGTATAAGTACGCATGTGCCAGCCTATTTGTACCTTGCTTTCAAAATCAATTTTTAAAAATCTACTAATGTTTCTTTAAAGATGCACAAAGATAATCTTTATAGCATTACCTATAGAATAAAAAGACAACTCACATCTTAAATGTTTATCAGCACTGAAATTGATTAATAAATTATACCTATGTATAAAGAAAATAGTCTATCAGTGGAAATAAGGACTTTAAATTTTTTGATACTGTAAACTCTGTTTTTCTTAGTTATCAAAAAGCAGTTTTTAAAGATCTAAGTTAGTGTGGTTGGAAATGCCTTTAATCACAAAGCTATTCTGATGGCTCTGCCAGGGAAACACAAGTCCAAGAGTTCAAGGCCTGTCTAGGCAAAAAAATGAGACTCAGACTATTATATATAAAACTATATACCTTGGTGTTCCATGTAAGTATATATAATATATTTTGACAGTCTTTCCTAAATGCACATATGTGTTTATATGTTTGAATCTGATGACTAAGAGATCAAATGATAGTTTTGTGATATTCGAGTTTTTTATGTGTATTCATCTACCTGCAGAGCTAAAATCATGCAAAGAAGAAAAATGTCCATTATTGCCTCCAGTGAGTTGTCAATTCTTCTCACACATTTTTTCCATAAGCAGGAGATTTTTTTGAAAGAGATTATAGATATCAGCCATGGCAGGAAACTCCCATTCCCCTTGGAATCACAATTCTGACCCTCCCCTTTCCCTTTCAGGCCCGGGGTTTGGAATCTATGCAGTCGTTCATCTTCTCCTTCCTGTGATGTCTCTTTGGCTCCGTCGTAGCCACAAGGACCATTCCTACTGGGATGTGGCATCTGCTAACTTCAAGCACGCCATTGGTCTGTCCTGCGAGCTGGTGGTGGAGCACATTCAAAGTTTTCTACACTCAGGTAGCTACAGGGCCAGAGCCAGTCCTTGTGGGCATTGCTTCTCCAGCCAGCACACTATCTCAAAGTGCTTAGTGAAAGCCCAGTGCACATGCCTTTGCTGAAGATAAATACCTAAGCGCAGGTCTAGTGTAGCTATTCATAAGAAGAGGAAGGCATATTCAAGTACACAGCTTTTAAAAATCCTCATAGCCAGGGTATGCAGAGGTGGGATATCTTGTTGTTTCTGTTTCCTCATCTAAAGAAAGCAAATAAAAGAAATAGAATTTTAAAAAGGCACTGGTTACCACCAAGAAATTGCTTATCAGGACGGGGATAAAGGGAAGTTTCTTAGTGCCTGTGGCACTTTGAAAAACATGTATGCTAGTGGAGAGTTATGATGAAAGTGGCAGACAGAAAAGGACAGGCAGGACAGCAGCCTGGAGTCCTGAGCAGGGACTTCTATAAAAGTCGGGTTCTTGCTCACCAGCTGCTTTGGGAAGTTTGGAAGGAGGAAGAGAAGAAACATAGCTTCTAAACAGAAGGGAGAAATACATGGAAGCATAAAGAGGCCTCTTTGCTAGAAAAGACAAAAGAGGCCAAGCAGAGTGTTAGCCCAAGGAATATAAAGCAAGAATAGGAAATTGCACCTGTACTAAATTCAATGAGAAGGATAATTTGTCCTGCAAAATTAAAGTGCTAGTGGAGGAGGGAGTGATTTCCACAGCTGATGGAGGAGGGAGGGGTATCCACATGGAGGTAGTGAGTGTGTCTCAGGGAGTTGATGTTTTTGAGCAGGTTGTTGCTTTGCAGTGAGGGTTGTGAAAGAGATACCACTGAACATGGATTCTGTGGCATCACAAGGACCCTAGGAAAAACATGCAGATACATTCCTAGAGTGGACAATTAGACTGGCTTGGGAATCTCTGTTTCTTTCAGTCTGCAAAGGATGTGCAGATGGAAGCCAGATTGACGAGGTTCAGAAATTACCAAGCTGAGACGAGATGGTTTTGTTTTCCAAGAGCACTTAAATGTAATTCAGTTTTCATCACCTAGGAAAGTATACTTACATTTTCCTTTTTAGACACATTTTTTTCAGCAACTCATTTTCAGGTCATATATTTAATATATTCTGTCTTGTTTGAGTAGGTTGCTTGCTAAATTTGGTTGATGCACACACACACACACACACACACACACACACACAACTGCATATCTCATTTTGCTGTATCTATAAATGAGATAAGTAAATATATATGTCAAAGTTGAAGAAAAGGACTCCAAGAAAAACATTGCTTTGCTGTATTTTGTTTTGATGGGGTGTAAGGGAAGGTATACACCGTTCACTTTTTCCTTTCCCCAAATGTGTATCTTTTTATGTCTCAGACTTTCTTTTTTGCCAAAGATGGCCATTTCATTTTCTCCCATTAGACTGGAGTTCTAAGAATCTTATTCCTTCTTCCCGCAGACATCAGGTATGAGAGTATGATCAATACTATGCTGAAGGACCTCTTTGAGCTGCTGGTAGTCTGTGTGGCCAAGCCCACAGAAACCATCTCCAGAGTGGGCTGTTCCTGCATTAGGTGAGGAAACGGTCCCTTGGCTCTGTACAAGGGTGGGTTTTATTAAAGAATCCCAAAGAGTTGTCTTTTATGATAGTGACTCACTTTGTGGCTTGCCTTTGAGAAATAATTTATAATTAATACCCCCTCTTTGATGTTCAGTCAGCACATGCTTAGTGTAGAAGAAGATACAGAAAGGGTGATGGTTCACTTGGGGACAAAGAAGGAGGGTGACAATTGAAGGTGGGCATGAAGACCTCCGCAGAGGGGAGACCCTCTCTCAAGTCTCAGAAAGTCGCGACCACCCAGTAATCTACTCGAGACACCATATACCGGAGCAATTGCGAGGTTATTTATTAGGGCGTGACAACTAGCTGCCGGTCAATTCGCATGCCCACGCAGGAGCTGAATTGACCCCGACTGCCAGTTTGGAACGGGTTTTAAAGGGAAAAACCACAAACCAAGGAAATGAGGAGGGGGTGAGGGGGTTGCTAGGGTGGTATAACATAAAAATAGTGGAACATTCCAAAGGAACCCAACCTACATGAGTCAGGATCAGATGAAAACTCTCTATACACTTATCTTTCTCAAGAATGTAGTCCTGCCCTGTCACTTCCGCCTTGCCCTGTCACTTCGGCCTTGCCCTGTCACTATGGTTCTCAGCTTGGTTCCACCTGACTAAATTGCATTCTTTCCTTTCTCTTTGCGGGTCGGCCAGTTCCAGTAGTGGTGACTGGTCTTTCCACATTCCTAAAGAAAGCCTAAAGAATATTTTATATCTAAAAAGGATTCTATATACCCAGTATCCATAACTTTTCCCTCTACAGGCAGAACCTGAGATTTAGTGCCTGCTGCCAGTTCCTCATCCCCAGGTAGATTGCTTCAATCTGTTCCTGGGTTCTGTGAACCCCTTTGGGGGATTTACTTAAGTCTTAGGACCTCGCTCTAATACCTACTCCTAACAAGTTCCATTTTGGAGTCCAGAATACTGTTCCTGTGTATGATGAGGACATAAAATTCTTCTTGTGCAGATGTTACTAGATACTTCCACCCTCCTGTCTTTTTAATGTAAAGGTACCAAGAGTGATGACATAGCTGGCAGGTACACATCTGTAACCCCAGGTGTCAGGAGGGAGATTAAAGAGAGTTTGAGTTCAAATCACTCAAGGATACACTGCAAGGCCAGTTCTCAAAGAAAAATAGTAATAATTAAGGGAGAGAGAATCACTGAAAACTGATAACATTTATATCTACAAGGTATAATTATAAATGCCCAAAAAGAACAAGTGGTGTGGTGAACAGGATGGTAACAATGATGACACTTGGTTCCTACTCCAGAGTGATTTTCTTCATTATTTTCCTATTGCTGCAATAAAACCACCTTTTTTAAAGTTGACCAAGGCAACTTGCTAAAGGAATCAGTTAATTGGGCTCACAGTTCTAAAGCATAGTATGCGTGATGGTGAAGCAAAGTCATGTCAGTAGGAACTGCTGAGAGCTCACATCTCAAACTGCAGGCAGAAAGCAGAGAGTAAACAGCACTTAGGATGGTCAAAAACATTTGAAACCTTAAAGCTCTCCCCTCAGTGACATACCCCCTCCAACAAGGCCACACATTTTAATCCTTCCCAAACAGCCACTAACTCAGGAACTGTGTATTCAAAGCCAGAGACTTCCTGGAGCATCTGATTTAAACCACAATAGTAAGTCTTCACTAGGTGACAACATTCCAACTGGGAAAACAAAATAACAGGCCCAAGGAGATAAGAATAAGTGATGATAAAAGTTTGGGTCTTGTTTTTCATAGTTATGCTTTGTAGAGGAGTGGTAACAAATGGGGTCAAAATGGGGAAATGAATGAAAAGTATATAGCTTTGCATATGAGCCTAAGGTGGTCTGCTTGCAATGGAAATTCATTGATGTTTCTTAATTAAAATGGTAGATATTAGTATCTTGACAATGAAATACCAGAGGTGTGGAAAGCAGGATGAGGCTAGCAAAGCAGCTGCAGGGTAAACCAGTGCACAATTCAACTTTGAAGAGAACAGAATTTCTGGACTGAAGCCATGCCTTTTGACAGGTACGTCCTCGTGACAGCAGGCCCCGTGTTCACGGAGGAGATGTGGAGACTTGCATGCTGTGCTCTTCAGGATGCTTTCTCTGCCACACTCAAGCCAGTGAAGGTAAGATACCACAATGAGGGACCCAAATTTGTCATCGTCTTCTTCCCTGGCCCCCTGATGCTTGCTCAGTCTGCACACCTGAGTTCTGCTTACTTTCTCATATGAGGCAGTTGCACAGTAGCAGAACATGAGGAAAGAAAAATCCTAGGTTGGTTACCTTATCCATGTCAGATTGGAGATTGAGCCTGGCACTCTGCATGAAGACAATCCCTATGACACCTGCTGTTCCTCCCTAGGACCTGTTAGGCTGCTTCCACAGTGGCACAGAGGGCTTCAGTGGGGAAGGCTGCCAAGTGCGTGTAGCAGCTCCATCTTCCTCCCCCAGTGCTGAGGCAGAATACTGGCGCATCCGGGCCATGGCCCAGCAGGTAAGAGGTGTTTTGTGCATGTTGGGGACTCCAGAAGCTAGGATGCATCATCTTGAATGTCCAGCATCACCAGGGCCTTCCACTCCCTTACAAGGTACACACTGAGGCCTTGAGGTTTTGCCAGTATCATTTTCCCACTGGAATGAATGGGTTTAGCTCGTTCTCCCCACACCATCCCTTGCTGGTTGCATCCTTTAGTTCTCAGATCAGAGTCTATCTTACTGCCTGGATTTCATCTATACTTTGCTTAGGCTACTTAGAAGAGTTTTCTAAATACTTAGAAGGGTTTTCTAAATACTATTGCTTCTAAATATGGGTGACTAAAGATGGTTTGTATATTACATTTTTATCACCTATACAGAACACAATCCTTAATATTTTTCAGTGACTTAGCACATTTGAGTTGAATATAGCCAATCACTAAAAATGTCTCCATGCAACCTGGGTTTGGTTCTTATCACTCACATCAGGCAGCTTATAAGAACTTGTAATACCAGTTCCAGGGAATCTGTTGAGACATTTCCTAGTTGCTTCCGATGGGCTTCCCCCAGCAGTACTCAGCAAATGAGATAAAGATCCTTCCACATTCAACTTCTCACCTCCTCTATTGAGCACATTCATAAGGTCCTAGGATATGACTATTGCTTCTGAAAGAAGAGGCATGTCCATAGGAAGCATCCATGCTGTTTATGCAAAAAAAGGAACAGAAGAAAAGTAAGGCTGCATTGAAGAGCCTCTTCCACAGGATGGCAACTGTGGCCAAGGTAGCTTCTATCAGGGATGACTTCTCTAAACAGGAAGCTGTGACACCTGGTTCAGTTTTCACATATGTACACTATCGTATCTTCACCTATGTTCAAGCATGCAGTGAGTATATAAAACTGGCAGCTGGGCAAGGGGGCTAATGTCTACAAATCAGCACTAAGGAGGAAGAGGCAGAGGGAGCTTGAATGCAGGCTAGCTTCGGCTATAGAGTGGGTTCTAAGTCAGCTTGGTGATCTTATTCCAAATTCAGTGACTAATGGAAACATCAGTTGAGAACCCTCTCCTGAAATCAATGGTTACTGGAGAACAGGGAGTTGTTTCACTTCATAGTGTTTCTTTCTTCAGTTCCAAACCTTCTTTCTATATTTACAGTGAAATAAAACTAGTTTGTTCAATTACAAATTAGTCCCATTACAATGGGATAAAAGTTTCCTTGGTAAAAATGGTTTTCTAAATCAAAAGAAATGAAATCATTATGAACAGAAATATGAAAGATGCTTGGTATTTTCAGTCACGTGTACCTAGTCCACACCATAGTCCTGACTGAGTGGTCCAGAAAGGAGCTGAGTGTCATTTGTTTGTTTGGAAAAAAAAATCCTGGTTGTCCTGGAACTCACAGAGATCTGTCTGCCTCTGTTTCCTCAGTGCTGGGATTAAAGGCATAAACCACCATGCTTGGCTGAGTCTTACTTTCTCATTCCTACCTTGGATATAAAAATCAGAGATAAGGGGATATGGCAAAGTGTAAAGTGCTTGGCTAGCATGTGTAAGTCCCTCCAGAACTAATATGTGTGTATACACGTATATTATATATATAAAATGTATGTATGGATGTGTGTATATATACATACATCATATATGTGTATATCTATTTGTATATAAACATTTTAATATATATGTATTTTAGATACATTTTACACGCACACACACAAACACAATAGGGTCATCTGGGTAAAGGAAACTTCAATTAAAAACATTTCTCCGTCAGACTGGCATCTGATCAAGGCTGTGGGTCAATTCTCTGATTGATGATTAATGTGGAGCCACCTCTGGCCTGGCATTCCTGGGTGTATAAGAAAGCAGCCTGAGCAAGCCACGGGATAAAGCCAGTGACAACAACTGTTCAGTGTCTCTGCTTCAATTCTCGCCCCCATGTTCCTGTATGAGATCCAGCCCTGACTTTCCCCCTAGATGGACTATGACCTGAAAGTTGTAAGGTGAAATTAACCCTTTCCTCGCCAGGCTGCTTTTGGTCGTGGTGTGTGTCACAACAATAGAAAGCAAACGAGTACCAGCACCCTTGTGCTTGTTATTGCTACCTAGTTCAGTACTTGGGGTGTAATGAACTGACATGTGATAGAGCACTATAGTTGTATTAGTGTTGGTAGACAATGTTTGTCATCTGTTCTGTTATAATGCTCTGCAGATGTAATATACGCGTATCTTTATTTAATTCGTCAGCTATATCAGGTGGAAGTCATTGCCATCCCGTTTTATAGGTAAAGACATGGGTAGAAAATAAATTACTTACCCAGGGCTACTAGCAAACTGTCAGTGGAGTTGGTAGATGTGGGCTTCTGACCGTCCCTTTGTATATTCCTGCAGGTGTTTATGTTGGACACCCAGTGCTCACCAAAGACTCCAAACAACTTCGATCATGCTCAGTCCTGTCAGCTCATCATAGAACTACCTCACGATGAGAAACCAAATGGACATACCAAGAAAAGGTACCCTGCTGTAAACGTAGAGCTCATAAACAGGAAAGCTCTTCAGTTCCCACTTCCTACTGTTTCTAATCCAAGCTATAGCACTGTAGAGTCAGTTAACAAAGGTTGTCATAAAAATGGTAAGCCTTTTAACCAAATTACATGCACATCGTGTATATAATTTAATCTGCCATAGGGAACTACCACAAGCCAGATAACTGACAGAACAGGTATATTTTCTCACAGTTTTGAAGGCTGAAATTCAGAGACCAAAGTGTGGGCTTGATTTGTTCTTTTGGCTTGTAGATGCCTTCTAAGACCTCACATGATGGCTCCTCTGTTTTTTCATATAGATTTCCTCTAGCAAGGGCTGTGTGTACACTGGATTAAGATCTACCCAGTGACCTCAGTTTTACTTAAGTACCTTCCTAAAGACCCTTCCTGTAAATATGGTCATATTCTGACTAGGAATTAGGAGTTCAGTATATACATTTGGACAGGATACAATCCTATTATACATAAAATAATATGTATAATATTTTATTTAAAAATTATTAAATTTTTAAACAAAAATCAAAACAATCATTTCTGCCCAGAACTCAAAGTCAGCTAGACATTATAGCAAGACTGTTTAAAAATATAGTAACTACCATATTTCAGATCAGTACAGTGCAGATCATTTCAATAAATACAAACACCTCTGCTGTCAAGAAACAAAAAGATTCCTGTCTTACCAAAAGAGGGAAAAAAAGGTTTCTCCTTTTAAATACTATTATCCGGTCTGAAAATTCTTGTTCTTTGAGCTGGAATCAAAGCTCCCTTGCTTTGCTTCAACAGATCAATAGTAACAGTTGCTTATTTAACACTATATAAAGGCACAACAGATAAAATTCCTCTTTCATTTTAACCCATGAGGACAAGAGAAGCCAAGCTAAGTATCCAAGAGTACACAGCCATCAAGTGGGAAAGCCAGAAGCAAAACAAAGGTCTATCAGAGCACAGGACGTCAACCCTTTACCACTTTGGGGACTGAGGTCATGCAACGGACTGGGACTAGGGTTTGCATTTCCTCCAAACTTGTGCTTTAACCTTAGCTGCCCAGGTTATGCTTAGAAGGTGGGGCCTTCGGTAAAACATGATGTTTGAACCCTTCATGAATGGGATTACTGCTATTACAAGAAACGGGAGCACTCCCCTGTCACTCTATTAAGGACACAGCTAAAAGACAGCTTCTACAGCTACTAGAAAGCCCTTACCAGAATTCAGCCATACTGATACTCTCTCTATTCTTAGATTTCCTACCTCCAAAACAGTATGAAATCAACCTCTTTGATTATGAACAAGGCAATCTGTGGGATTTCTTTATAGCAACCTGAACAAAAACATTTGTTGCCATTGCATAGGCTCTGGGTGACTTGTGTGACAGTTCTTAATGTAGCTATTTGAATACTATAACCAATTAGGTTAAATTTCCAGGGAATATTTTAGCTAATCATTTGGTGTACCAAAAATACATGGGGGGTTGTGGATTTAGCTCAGTGGTAGAGTGCTTGCCTAGCAAGTGCAAGGCTCTGGGTTTGGTCCTCAGCTCTGGAAAAAAAGAAAAAAGGAAAAAAAATACATGGAATATATATTTAAGTTATAAAATATGATTAAAAATAAAATATTCAAGGGCCAAAAAAGAGCACTTTAACAGAATCTCATGAATTCTTCCCAAATTCTAGTTCCTGTTTCCCCAGCATCAGTTTTAAGTTGTCTACTTTATATGTTAAACATAATCAAAAGCTAAGATACTGCCATGCCTTTTGAGGATGTTACTTTGAAATAAAGATGACAGAAAAACAAGTAGATCTGTAAAGGACCTCCCTTCTTAATTTGGATCCTAAAGTTGTAGCCTTGAAGTACTTAGACCAAATTGGTAATGTTCTAGTTCCGTCCTGTTTCTGTGATAACACTCAGATCATAAATAACTGGAGGAGGGCCGGGCAGTGGTGGCGCACGCCTTTAATCCCAGCACTTGGGAGGCAGAGGCAGGCAGATTTCTGAGTTCGAGGCCAGCCTGGTCTGCAGAGTGAGTTGCAGGACAGCCAGGACTACACACAGAGAAACCCTGTTTTGAAAAACCAAAAAAAAAAAACAACAAACAAACAAAAAACGGGAGGAGGAGGAAGGGTTTATTTTGCTTACACTTCCAGATCATAGTCCAGCATTGAAGGAAGTCATGGCAGGAACTTGAATCACAAACCATAAATTTGGTTTCTCTCTCATAGGCTCATGCTTCACTAACTGTCTTATATCCAAGACAACCTGCTAAGGAAATGGTCCTGCCCACAGTGATCTGGAGTCTCCTATAACAATAAAGACAATCAATACATTCCCTCACAGATATGTCCACAGACCATTATGATAAAGACTCAACTGAAATGTTTTATCAAGTGGTTCTAGACTTTTTGTCAAGTTGGCCCCTAATGCTAATTAGGACAGGTAGCTTCTAGAACCTTCTGCAGAGGAATAAATATCCAGGTTTCCTAATACTGAGTAATTTATTTTAAAAAAAATCTACATAGGAACTGGGAGAAAGGGAGGAAGATGAGTTCCTGTTTAATGTACAGAGTTTCTACCTGGGATGATGAAAAGGTTCTACACAGACAGTGATGTTTATATCGTCATGGTAACTACACTTAGAACCACTGAATTCCATAGTTACAAGACAGTCCTGTGTGTGTGTGTGTGTGTGTGTGTGTGTGTGTGCATATACATTGAAGAAGTCATTTCAGCTGTCTCACAGGGTTACTTGTTTGTGTTGACAGCCCTCTATTACTCATTTCATCCTAATAGACAGCCACAGTTTTCCCGTAGTGACAGCCATATGATCTGAAAAGTCAACATTTAGATTAATGGAAGATTTTTGTTCTTTTCTGATAGCTTAAAAGATAAGTTTTGTGGGCTAGAGAGATGTCTCAGTGCTTCAGAGCACTCACCAACTGCTCTTCCAGAGATCCTGAGTTCAATGTCCAGCAATCACATGGCAGCTCACAACCATCTGTAATGGGATCCAATACCCTCTTCTGATGAGTCTGAATACAGCTACATTGTACTTGTATAAATAAAATGAATAAGTAAATCTTTTTTAAAAATAGTTTTTGTTAAGTATAAAAATAACTTTAAATTCAAGTACATAGTAAGGCAGACTAAAGCAAAAAAATGCAAGATGGTTGGTCCTAAGCCTAGCTCAGTGGTTCATATCTATAATCCCAGCATTTAGGATGGAGAACTAGAAGATCAAGAGTTAAGACCATCCTCATCTTCATAGCAAGCCTGAGGCCAGCCTGGGCTACATCAGACCCTGCCTCAAAAAACTTTTGGACCTTATATTATTTTCAGAAAATTGGTGGCAATATGACTGTGTAAGCTGTTTTCACAAAATCCTAGGAGCAGTGAAAGGAACATGAAACCACAAACTGCACTGGTGTTCAGAGAGGATGTGCCCTCTCTTGTCTCTCAGTCCCACACAACTGGCCTCAAAGTCATCTCAAAGAAATCAATTGACGTTCAAGATTTGTGCCACAGTCCCAATGGCCAAATTGGCAGATAGAGAATTTGTGTGAGTAAATGCTGTTTTTCCCAGCTTGATGTAGAAGACTATGAGTTACATCGTTAATTTATTTCTTCTTTTTGTAATGTGAGCCCCATAAGCTTAGTAATCACAATATTTTTCAATACCTAAAGCATTAGTATTTCATCCTTGAAAACTGCCTTGGTGGCAAAAACAAACCAGTAGGATTACAGTGTGTGTGGGGTGTGTGTGTGTGTGTGTGTGTGTGTGTGTGTGTGTGTAAGAAAACAGGGTTAAAAGTTAGAAGGGTCAGTGTATCCTGTCTTATAATTACACCTTTTTTTATAATTAAATGTTGCTTTTATTTCCTTATGCAATATCTTAACTTACAATCTACAGCTCCTGTATTTTTTACAAAAAAGCCAGGAATTCTATCAGCCATGATTAAAATGGAAGTTTTCCCCTTTAAAAATTAGATATTAAAATGCAGGCAAGATGGCTCAGCGGGTAAAAGTGATTACAGCCAGGTTTGATGACTTAAGTTAGATCCCCTGCACACTCATCGTTGTGGAAGTGGATAAATGAACCCCACAAGTTGTCCCCTGACCTCCACACACGAATAAGTACTTCAAAATGTTGGAGCACAGGTTTAGTTTGGAGCTTCACGTGTTCTGAAATGGACCATGCCTGTCTTGCTGTGGAAGAAGAAAAAAAGGCAGAAAGCCACTAACCAGCCTCTGTCTTTGCTTTTGAAGCGTTTCTTTCAGGGAGATTGTGGTTAGCTTGCTCTCTCACCAAGTTCTACTCCAGAACCTGTATGACATCCTGCTGGAAGAGTTTGTCAAAGGCCCCTCTCCGGGAGAGGAAAAGACAGTCCAAGTGCCAGACACCAAGCTGGCCGGCTTCCTCAGATACATTTCCATGCAGAACCTGGCTGTGATATTTGACCTGCTGCTGGACTCCTACAGAACTGCCCGGGAATTCGACACGAGCCCGGGGCTCAAATGCCTGCTGAAGAAAGTGTCTGGCATTGGAGGAGCAGCCAACCTCTACCGCCAATCTGCCATGAGCTTTAACATTTACTTTCATGCCCTGGTTTGCGCGGTTCTCACCAACCAAGAAACTATCACAGCAGAGCAAGTGAAGAAAGTGCTATTCGACGAGGAAGAGAGAAGCTCAGATTCCTCCCACCAGTGCTCATCAGAGGATGAAGACATCTTTGAAGAGACAGCGCAGGTGAGCCCCCCACGAGGCAAGGAGAAAAGGCAATGGAGGGCACGCCTGCCTTCACTCAGTGTGCAGCCAGTGAGCAATGCTGACTGGGTGTGGCTGGTCAAGAGGCTGCACAAGCTGTGCATGGAGCTCTGTAACCACTACATCCAGATGCACCTGGACCTGGAGAGCAGCTTGGAGGAGCCACTTACCTTCAAGAGCGACCCATTCTTCATCCTCCCCTCCTTCCAGTCCGAATCGTCCACCCCATCGACGGGTGGCTTCTCCGGGAAAAACACACCCTCCGAAGATGACCGCAGGGAGCATCTAAGTGAGCCTCTGAGTCTAAGGGTGGGCAGTGGGGACATACTGATGCTGCCTCCCAGCCCCAAGATAGAGAAGAAGGATCCCGGCCGCAAGAAAGAGTGGTGGGAGAGTGCAGGGAACAAGATTTGCACAATGGCCGCTGACAAGACCATCTCAAAGCTGATGACTGAGTACAAGAAGAGGAGGCAGCCACACAACCTGCCCCCCTTCCCCAAGGAAGTCAAGGTGGATAAGAAAGGGGAGCCCCTGGGGCCCCGGGGTCCTGACTCCCCGCTGCTTCAGCGGCCACAGCATCTCATAGACCAAGGGCAGATGCGCCATTCCTTCAGCGCAGGCCCAGAGCTGCTGCGGCAGGAAAAGAGACCCCGTTCAGGCTCCACTGGAAGCTCCCTGAGTGTCTCTGTGAGAGATGCAGAGGCACAGATCCAGGTGAGTTCATGCTAGTCATTTCTAGGTTGCAGATAACAAAAGTATCCCCCTTGCAGAGTCTGCATCCCCAAAGATGTGATGGAAACCAAGGGAAGCTGAGGATCCAAATCGGGTGGCTGAATGCTTGCCACTGCATTCAATGAGGAAAGCCTTGGATTACATCTGTCAACAATGCTCCAAACCAAGTATTGGAAATGTACAATTCCTGAATGTAGGAAGTGAAGACAGAGAGATTTTAAGTTCAAGATTATTCTTGGCTACCTGTGAGCTACATGCTGTGGACAGCTCAGGTTAAGTGAGACAGACAGAGGATAGAGAGATCTGACACCTAGCGAATTATATAAACCATACCTCCAAGTCAGAAGAATGACTGGACCTAGGCTGTGGCCTCTGCCTGGGAAACAAATTTTCTTCTAGATCATTTCCAAAACCATTTTTCTATGTTGTGATGTAATTATTGAGAAGTAGGAAGCCACCTGTATAAGAAAGATGGCAAAGGTTATCTAATCAGTAGGCTTTAGCTGGCATTGTTGTAGGTTTACTGCCTCCTTTTGTTGTTTTGAATGTGGCACTAGGGATGTTCTGAAGCAGAGTATAAAGGAAAAGGCCAGAACAACACTGCTGTATTTAAAACAGTGAAGTGTTTTTAACCATGTTGAGCACATATAAAGCCTGTTGAAATGAGTCTGAGGGGAAAACAGCATTGACAGCATTTATGAGGAAACATGGAAACAAAGAACTAGGAAGATTCTAGATAAAGTCCTTTACTATGGAATCTTGCTACAGGCTCAGTACATCCGAAGATAGAAGATCCTAGGTCCCTAGAAACACACATGTAGGTACATACATTTGAAATTAGTGTGCCTCTTGCAAGATGCCTTTTCCTTTGAAACATCTACATAGAAGTAAACTTGATAAGACAAAATCTACATAAGTTGTAATAGACTAGATTTTTCAATACTAGGGATTGAAGCCCCACGTATGCAAGGCAAGCCCTCCACTATGAGTGGCATCCCTCATTTGGACTAAAAATCTTTTTTAACTATCCAATAACCATGAGATAGATATTTATTCTTTAGCAGATAAGGTTCATGGTAAATCCTGTATCTTAACTGATTTAACATGTGTTGGAGTTTTAGTGATTTTTCATCTTCTCCTAAATTAAGGAAGACTTATCCCAAGTGATCCAGGTCTTAGCAGACAGCTGATTGAACTCCTGAATGCTCCAAAGACAATTGCTCTTGTTAGATGATTCTCTGCCCATCTTCCAATATGTGAAAAAAATTACTTTATTATTAAAGGTCTTTAATTTTTAGAGCTAAATCCTGACTAAACCTGATTAAACAACAACAACAAACATATTTCCAGAGTTTAATAGCACTGCCACACAAAGCTATGAGATAGCCAATAATTCTCTTACATCCTTTCTCATAGGCATGGACCAACATGGTGCTAACTGTTCTCAATCAGATTCAGATCCTTCCGGACCAGACCTTCACTGCTCTCCAGCCAGCTGTGTTCCCATGCATCAGCCAGCTGACCTGTCATGTGACTGACATCAGAGTCCGTCAAGCTGTGAGGGAATGGCTGGGAAGAGTGGGCCGTGTCTATGACATCATCATTTAGAGGACTCAAATCCTAAGGAAATGCCTACAGTCAAAGTCTGCCTATCCATCCATCCGGCCGATTGCATTTTCCCAACCACCATCCCACTCAAGCCAGGTCTCTGAGAAACTAGTTCTCTGAAACCTAGTAACAAGGCTTTTACTAAGCTCTCCTTAATTAGTCAACCTTGGGTTAGTCTGAATGCAAACATAGTATACAAGTGACATAGTGATCTCTGGCCTTGAACATTATTATAAAAGAGTCTACATTACTTCATTCATTTCTAAATCTAATTTCCAAGTGCATTTGCTTGCAGTATTGTACCCAAATGGGTCATTTTCAACACTTTCCTTTGGAAGCCCTAGGCTGATCCATTTTGAGCCATCATTTTCGAAACTAAGTCCTAAGAAAACATTTACTGATAAGTCAAGCTGAAATAAAGTCATATATCTGGCACCAGACATAATTAATCAGAAAAACTTATTCTGATTCTAGTTTGGTTGGGAAGAAAACTGCAAAAATTTTTGTTTGCAGTGTTCTAATCAAGAAAGAAACTACTTCTAAAATAAATCAAGGACCATTTCAACATTATTCTTAAGGATTTTAGATTTTTGTGCTAATATTCACAAATGCCCCAGGTAAGGTACAGCTGTGCCTTCATGTCTTTGCTTTTAAAGAAAGGAAATTCTTTCCAAGTATGATTTCAAGTCTGTGACATTAACATGAAGCACCCAGTGGTGTACATTGTCACAAGATATTGTCACAAGACTTGATACTGACTACCCTGTGTATTCCATGAGTCTTTGCTTCTGTTCCCAAGGCAGGCAAAGAAAAGAAAGAAAATTGGTGCCTTAGTCTCTGTTGCACAGATATTTCTATCCCCTACAATTATCTGAACAATAATGTATGACACTCAGTTTTAAGAAAGATTAAGATTCATTTTATATCAGTATCCTTTGGAGGAAAGGAACTCAGAGTCCTCTGTCTGGTGAGCATACTTCTCAGGGGAGGGGCAAGAAGTGTGGGCTGGGGAAACAGCTGGAAGGGGTGGGCTGGGATTGTGATAGAATCATTGTAAATCTTCAACTATGATACAGCTGTGAAATGATAGTGTCAGTTATACACACGTAAGACTGAATGGAAAGGGACACAGTGAATTTAGAAAACTATTTTTTTCTATATAAAATACTTCTCTCTAGTAAATTTACTCTCTTTTAACTCATGTTATTCAGACCAATATTCTATGTAGAAATTTCTTTTTCTAAGTATTATTAGAAAATGAATTTGAAATATAGAACCATATCTATTAAGGATTAAGAATTGAGCCTGAGGCTTATACATACTTTGAAGCCACTGAGCTCCCCCAGAGCCCTTACCACAATATATTTTATATTGTTTACATTATAATAATGACTAAAGCTTTTTAGACAAGTCCACTTACACTCTAGAGTGTAGGACTAGTTACTGGGGCATTTGTGGCATTTAACCAGTGCCTAAAAATGTATTCATGCATCATCCTCTAAAAAGGAAACCTCCACTCTTAAGTATTGAAGGACTTACTCGCGGTTGAACTTTATCGAGTGATAATGTTCATAAATGTTGCCCTCCGTGAGAACCACATAGATATCTACAAGTCAGAGCAAGGTTCTTTACCTTATGTGGAAAGTTAAAAAAATATGTATCCCATTATTCAGCATACCACCTATACAAATCAGAGTGTAGAGGACATTTTCCTAATCCCACAAAGCAATCTTTGCCTTCAGATAGTGAATCAAGTTGGGTAATAAGTTTAAAAACTGACCTAAACCTGTTTTAGTTTCTCTGTTTACTAGTGTTGGAAATCAAACCAAGGCTCTGTGCAAGCAACACAGATGTTCTGCACTATTGAGCTGTATCCTCATCTCTTAACTGTTTGAATGTACAATGAATTATTTTACCTGCACCTCTAGATTTTATATACCTTATAAATGTAGTTGAGACTTAAAGATTGTACTCCATTTTGTTTTACTCAGCAAAAGCAGTATACCCTAGTTGTTTTCTTTTGTAGATTCATTGGAGAATTTATTCTTGGTCAACCAGGAAGTACCTCCATTTAATGGAAAAAGAGCTTTGGTGAACCCGATTACAGAATTACTGTATGTCACAAACTGTAACTATTCATAAAGTATAAAAGCCAGTTTCCTTGTACAAATGCCCAGAAGTATGTTAGTTACTTGTTCTGAAATAAGACCCCATTCTCCCACAGACGGGATACAAAGAGTATATATGACTAGTTTGTGAAAGTGTCCTCTTCCATCCTGACTGTGGATCTTCAGAATAAAAAAAATGAGATGTGCCCAACTCCTTACCTGCAATGTTGTAAATATTGGCATATCCTCCCATCAATCCTTTGTGAGTCCATTCCAAGTCCCACTTTGTTTTTAGACCACCTCCAAGCACTTTCCAGAAAAGACTACAGCATCCTTCAGAGTCCAACCAGAGGGGAGTTATTTGTAGTTTCAAATGGAACATTGCTCAATGCAAAGTCATAGCCAGTGAGTAGTACTTCAGTTAAATTGTTCTCTAGGTAAGAGGACAGACAAGCAATTAGACTTGGAGGGACAAAGGTCCTTCCCTCACTACTAGTCAGTCCCCTGCAGTGTCTAGTGTCTATCTTTACCCCTTTCTTCATTCATTCCTTCCACAGTCTCTGAATGCAGCCAGTGGTTTTTCCCTAGTCATTTGGGCTGAAGATCAAGGTCAAAGTGGGCTTTTGAATTTTAGAACAGTCATTAGCAGAATGTACAGTTACGTACAGGAGTAAAGAGAACGGGATTTTATGTGTTGCTTTAGTTGCTTCTATTTACCAAAAGTATATTGCTTGAGGTTGAAATTTTCTTCTTCTTTTGTTAGAAAAGTATGCATCATGAAACAGGCAACATAGTACCACATAAACCAGGCATGATGCTACACATGGATCACCCCAGGGTGGTGCACACCCATAATCCTAGTACTTAGAAGGGAAAAGCAGGAAAAAGGAAACTCAAGGGCACTTTAAGTTACACAGGAAATTGGAAGGCAGCCTCGGCTACATGAGATCCTGTAGAACAAAGTATCAATTTTCACAGTGGAAGGCTCATAAATTGTTGGCAGAGCCTGGCTTATCTCCGCAGCTCTCCGTTAGTTCTGACGATATTTAAGGCTGCCTCTACACTCTGTCTTCATCTTCCTTTTAGCACAGCCCCAGATTTCTCCATGAAGGCAAAATTAGAGCACGTTTTGTCAATTTTTTTAGTTATTTAATCACTAACCATTAGGACTTGGGAAAATGCTACCAGATATTAGATCAGATTACAGTATTTTAAATCAAGCCAGATATATGCCTACAATCCCAGCACAGGAGAGGATAAGGAAACAAGAGTGACCTCCAGGACAGCCTGGGCTACACTGTAAACCCTGTCTCAAAAACACAAATGTTGATGTCCAAAGTACTATTAACTTAAATTCCAGGTATGATAAGCAACACAGGCTTCTTGTTTAAAAAGATACTTGTGCAGTTAAAAGAGAGGCTAGTAGCCTTAAACTATAGGAAAGTGTCAGCGTATGTCAATAGAGATTCATAGTCTCCCCAAATAGAGAACAGAACTACTTAGGTGGGAAAGGTTCCTTTTTAAATACAATGGCTGGAGAGATGGCTCTGGAGAGATGGATAAGGGCACTGGATGATCTTCCAGAAGACTCAGGTTTGGTTCTCAGTACTCACATGGTGTCTCATAACTATCTCTGATTCCAGTGTCAGGGGAGATGATGCCTTCTACTGATCTCTGAGGGCACCAGGCACACACATGGCATGCAAACATAAAGGCAAAGGAATACTCATAAAATAAAAATAGTTTGTGAAAAAAAATAAAATCTGTTATCAGTCCCACCAGCTAAACAGAATGGAGACCTTTGTTTAAAGCTGGTAACACTGGATGCCAACAAACAGGGACCTTCTCATAGTAACTTTATAAAACCTTCTTGGCTTTTTCTAGTTGGTAAGTTCACAGACCCAAAGAGGTTCATAAACTTGTCCAAGATAACAAATAAAAGGCAAACTTGTTTGCAAAGAAATATCCCTGAGTTGAAAGGCCACATGCTTCCTCAAATGTTGGGCTGTCAGTACTGAGTAAGCTCTGCAACGTGAGAGAATGGCAAACTTGCGAGGCCTTCCTTAGATGGTTAACATTAACATATCTGCTTGATAGGTCTGTCTGGAGTATTATGTGGATTTGGAAGGTGTTACTTTAAAATAATGTCTTTACAATGGAAACATAAAGGATATCAATATTTATGCCTTAATCCCCAGGAAAACATTTAGTGTTGCATTAAAAATGTAGTAATATTATGGAGAAACCTGCCTGGCTGACTGTAGAAGCATAGAAATATGGCAGCCTGCATGTACAGGGGCATGTGTAATTTGTGAACTTTTCACAAATGAATTAACCAACAAAGTGCCCTGCAGCCAGCTTCTCTAGTAAATGCCAAACCTATACAGGTCCCCATCAAAACTTGGAGATATACAGAAATAACCCTCCTCCCAAATCCTCTGAAAAGGAAACAGCAAATTTGAACAAGGTGTACTGAAGTTTCAGGTAGGTCAGTATGTATAGGACCATGTGCCACTCCCCAACCTTTCTACTTGCTTCCATAGTTGAAGAAAGAAGCAGAGAGTTCAGACACCTGCAGTAACATAAGGACACAAATGTGTATGGGAACACAGAAAGATTTAGCGTGGCCTTAGAATAGTAAAAGAACATTTTTATTGAAAATGTGAGCTTGATATTAGGAATTATTTATAAAATTGGTAAAGGTCTTAATTTATAACTATACTCTCTTGGGAAAAATGTCCCCCTTATTCATAGAAAAATCTAGAAAATATTTGTTTTAAGAAATTTCACTGCTCTGGCTACCTTACAGTGTTTGTAACATTATGGAATAGAAACACCATTTAGATGTTCAAAATATAAATGGATTACCTTAGGAAAAACAGACAAAAAAAGAAAAATATCATACATGTTCAAGATTATTCAGGAGAAACTAGATTAAGAACAATGCTTTGGTTTCTTATAAACATGACACTACTTATAAATAAAAGCCAAATTCCACTATGACATTAGTAGCATCCACAAAACCTTTCACTATATCTTTGCATCATCATGCAAAGAGGAAGGGACGGGTTGACCTCAACAGTCGAGGTCCCATCCCGTTGAGTTCCTTCGAATCCCAAGTACTGTCTGTTGCTGTCCTCACAATGGTGGCTGAGCCAGTGGATTTTAACTTCTTCTGTCTGAAGAACAGTGGTTCTCAAACTTCAGCGTGCATCTGAGTTCACCTAACCACAAATGCCCAGGTTTCTGATTCTTTGGCAGTTTGTATTCTAGCAAGCTCCCAGATGAAGCCACTGCTGCTGCTCTGGGAAGCAAAGCCTAGAAAGCATTTACTTTCAGATCAGCCTGACTTATCAAGCACTAACCTGAGCTGAGCCATGGGCAGACAGCATGGGATTGGATTATTACAACATTCCAGTTCACCCTTCCCAGTTTTACTGTACCAACAATTGGTTCTTATACATTAGAAGACAATGAATGTATACCTGAGATAACTATAAGCTCATCTTTGTATTTATAAACATTAATTCTATAAATGATTGTTTGTATCCTGTTGACTTGTACTGAAGGTGATTTTAAATTTATATGGTATTCGCATTCCTTTCTATATAATTTTAATGATGCATTTCCACATAAGGCTCCATTACAGCCTGGCTCCTGGCTTTCAGAGGTTTTTGAGTAGTTGCTTGCTTGCCAGTTACTTTACGTCTTGGATTGGTCATTAACATATCAGCATTCTGAAATGCTATGACACTTCTTATGGCACCCTCATCTTTCACTTAGCTGTGTGGTTTAAATTAGTACTTTAGTTTCATGTTTATCTGTCAAGCATCTACTAAATGGCTTTGTGGAT